GACCTCACCAAACAGATTTCCATCAGAACACAAAGTTCTCCGGGACGGCACTGATCTAGACCCATGCCAAGCTCATTCCTACCTCCAGGTCATTGTACCTGCTACTCCCCCTTTGAGAATGTTCTTCCCCGGATGCTGGGATGGCTAACTCCTCATAATTCAGGTCTCAGTTCAAACAAAGCTCCTCAGAGGGACCTTCTAAATTTAGATATAGACCACTCAATCTCAAACAGTTTTCTGGTCTCCCCCGTCCCCAGACACTCTTTACCCATCACTGTTTTATTTTCTTCATAGTACTTATTACTATCTGAAACTGTTTTGTTTTGTAACTGTTTACCCATAGAATGTAAGCCCTGCAAGGGCAGAGACCATGTTTGTGTGTTCACAGCTGTCTCGCCAGTGACTAGAACAAAACTTGACATGTAGGAAAGGTAAAGTAAGTTGTTGAACAAAGGAATAAGTAAGTATCGGAAAGAACATGGATTTTGGAGTTAAACCAACCTGTACTCCAATCCACTTATCAGCTATCATATCTTAAGAAAACTTATTTAATCTTTGAGCCAAATTCCTAGTGTCTTCATGATGATTGAGTAAGACAAAGCCTGTAATCTGCCTTGTCCTCTTACTATTAAAGCATCCCCTTCAAACTCAGGACAGTAGAGAAACATCAGAAAGACAGAAGCATGACTTGCAAAATGGAAGCACAAAAGTTCCACTTCTTGGGTAATCTCTTTTCCAAGTGTGACTGACTCATTCTGGATTCCTCTTAAACTGAGCGAGGTAGCTCTGTTAATGCAACAAACCAAAATATGGCAGCATAATTCTGGATGATACAAAACAAAATAATAATGCTGTGGCCAGAATATTAACAATATCTTAATAATAACTACTATTCTGGGGTCACTTATTAAGTGTTAGCCATTGTGCTAAGCACCATATATACATCATCTGATTTATTCCTCACGAAAACTCTTTGAGGTATTATTATATTATCACCATGCCCATTTTATAAATGAGAAAACCAAGGCACAGAGATTAAGTAACTTGCCCAAGAAGACAGATCATAAATGCAGGAGTTGAGGTGGACCCAGGTCTATCTGAGGGCAGAAACCAAACCTTTAACTTCTGTAACATGCAGTTTCCTTTTACAGTAGATAGCATAGAGCTGGGCCCTGATGACTCCCTAATAAATATAATCAACAATACTCTGTTTTGGTTACTGCCTTCTGAAATTTTATTAGCCACCTTTGTTGTTTAAGTGGCATAAAGAACTGAGTATGGCTTTATTACTTCATTTCAGGAATACTCTCAAATCCTTGAGACTAGGAAAAATTCAGAAAGATCTTCTGTTGGTACACACAATCATGAAAATTATCTATTTCCTCTCTATTTTCTTTAAACAAAATTTAGAGACTCCAATAACACAACTGCTTTTTCTGTCTCTAATTGCCACAGGGCAAATAATCTAAACTTTTTAAATGAATGCTCTAGTGAGCCAGACCCTTTTCCTCTTTCCTACTTGAAAAAACTACTCTTTAAAAACATTAAAGAGTAGGTTTTAGTTCGGTATATGACATTAGGTTGTCACGCTGTGGTAGAGATTCTGCATTTGAATTCTGATTCTAGTGGTGTTCATCTACTACTACCTAGCAGCAGAAACTTGATCTAGTTACTACTCTCTCAGAACCTCAGTTCTACTTTTCTTAAGATTCCACTGAAACAATTAGTAAGATCCATTTCTTTTTTTTTTTTTTTTAATATTTTATTTATTCATTGGAGACAAAGAGACACAGCGAGAGAGAGAGAGAGAGA